GTCCGAACATTTGCTATCGAAATGTGAAAAGAGTAGCGAGAGACATGCGAAATTTTCTTTGTGGGAAAAGGATTGTAGACTGGAAAATAATTCATCACTCACAAGGCCGCGTAAAAGCATTTGAACACCGTCAAAGCTCGAAAGAGAGGCTTGAGCAGTTACAGCCTAGATGTTGCAGTCGTGCTCCATTTTTGGTCTAATCTAACTTTTGTAAATATAGATGGCAGAATTAGGGAATATATTCTATAAATTGGAATAAATTTGATATCGATCTGACAAACTAACTCTGACAGCCTTCAACCAAGTCAGGAATCAAACGTCGGCTTAATTGACCCCCCGATTCGCTGGTCCATCCCTTCACGCCGAGGAGAGTACAATGAAAGGATTGTCTAATCAGGTGGGTAAAGTGAAGACACAGATCACGTGGAAAATGTCTGTCTGCCGAATAGGCTGTTGGTCGGAGAAGACTGGCTACCAAAACATAGGAAGGCGTTTAATTTCCTTGTCAAATGCACTTTTCAAGGCCATCTGCCTAAAAATGATTTAATGTCAAAATAAAATTAGAGGCAGTTTGCTGGTTTTTAAGACAAAATAATTTCCCTTCTTAAATGATTGTTATTGCTAGACGTATAGACGTACTGTTGATTTTTATTGGCGTCTCTCTCTTTTTCTCTATCTGACATCGCAGAGCATATATATATATATATATATATATATATATATATATATATATATATATGCTCTGCGATGGAGCGATTCGAGGGAAAGGAAAGTCTTGTGGCTCTTGGGTACAATCTGTTGGGTTATGAATACTTAGATGAGTATCACCAGGGAATTTGTGAATAGCGGCGCTATATCGTCTATTCAATTCCTTCTTCATCACCGACGTCCGTTGGTAGGGTTGGTATGACTCTTGCGTTGTAACGTAAAGGTCCGGGTTCGATTGGATGCGCACTGCTAATGTGTTCCAATATAGGACGAAATGGCTGTCCCGTGCTTTCTGCATTCTGCTGAGGATTCTTCTAGACTGGATGAATTACTATAATGATTTGCATAAATCCCGAAAATTCTATTATATATATATATATATATATATACACACACAAGGGGGTGGAATTATGATGTTTACAGATATCTTTTCTCTCCTTGGTTACAAATCTCGATGTTTCTCTCTATCTGACAATAAATGTATATGTACGATACACGCACAAACATATATATATATATATATATATATATGGGGTATTGCATGAGGTTCATATATTTTTCGTTCTCTTTCTCCTCTCTCTCTTTCTTCCTAATCACTCTCTCCATCACTCTCTCAACACACACACACACAGAGAGAGAGAGAGAGAGAGAGAGAGATAGAGTAGTCCTTCTCTTAAACTAGTTATCAACCATGTTTGGAGATCTCAGTCTTCCCTTCTATTTTACCCACATAACCCCTCACATATATATTTTTTAACTATGGTACCTAGACTGTATGAATTTTAGAGCAATACTAGCCTAGCGGCGAGATCTCATCAATTTACAGTTGTGCTAGCTCGATGTAGCCGTAACTTTTATACTAACAGTTTCTTACCTCGCATTTCTCGCTTGTGGAATTCCCTCCCACCCAGCTTCATGCATTCCAGCCATCTTTAATCTCCAAAAATTTAAATGCACTGTCCTTCCGTTGCAGATTTTGCCGTGTAGACCCACTCTGTCATGCCGTCTTTATTATTCAGTGCGTGCCAATACCGTGCAACCTGATACAAGATGATCTATTGTTTCTGGATATTTATCACAGAATCTGCATTTTAGGGTAACACAACATGTTAGTATGCTTGATAATTTCAAGTTAACAAGTATTGGTCCTGCAGCAAGGATAGACCCTTCGGTTTCAACTTTTAACCCTGCACTACGTAGCCACTAATGGGTACAGAGTTTGTTTACATCAGCTTGTTTGGTACGGGCAGAGTATTGACCGTAAAGCGGTTTATCTTGCCATCGTTTCTGTATCTGGTTGCTTGTATTTGTTTTTGCTTTCTTTTTTTAAGTATTTTGCAGCTTCAGTCGGTGTATTGTGCTTTACTTGTATTTCTTCACCCATTTGAAACTCCATTTTGAACTTGTTGGCCTCCTTTATTACGAAATAAAGACTTTTACTACTTTCATGTTCTTTGACACACATCATCATCCAGTCTTTTGTAGTTTCCAGGTATCTTTGAAGGCCAGTTGTTGTAGATTTGTAAGACAGTTCTAGTTGAACTAATCCTCTGCCTCCTTCGGATCTGAGCATATACAGACGATCAACATCAGCTTAGGGATGATGCATGAGGCAGCAAGTGAAAAACTTTCTCGTTTTGGTGTACATTCGCTTAATATGATCCAGTTAAGGACGTTAAAACTGTATTGCACCACAGGGACAGCCAAGGCGTTTATGGCTGATATTCTGTTTTTTGAATTCACCTCGGTATTCAGTACAAGACGCACACGCATTTAGTACTCTTTTCTTACCTTCTCCTTCATTTGATTATGTGGTATACCATCCCCTTCGTTAATTCCTAGGTACTTGTAGGTTTCATCTTGTTCCAGTTCCCTAAAGTCCAAATCTATTGAGGGTGTTTCTGCAATTCTCCTTTTCTTGAATGTTACTTTTGCACATTTATCTAATAAAATCCATACCTATGTCATCGCTGAAACATTTTATAATATTGAAGAGGCCCTTCAACTCATTGTTGTCTTTGGCAAAGAGTTTGAGATCATTCATGTCGAGTAGGTGATTGAATACTTTTTGCTTAGTTTGTAGCCATAGCTACTGTTGTTTAATTCATGCGTAAGTGGGATAAAGGGCAAACAAAACAAGGGTTGACAAGGAATTTCCTTGAAAGATTCCATGTCGGATATTTAGAAGGCTGGAGATGGCAGTACCTCTAATGTGATTTAGATATAATGTGGTGTTCCACATTCCCATGCTATAGGAAATTTACTACCACAGGGGAGACTTTGAACATTTCCAAAGTCTTAAGGATCCCAGAGTGTGGCACTCTATCAAAGGCTTTACGATAATCAATCCAAGCTAAGATTTCTACATCGTCTCCTGCAATTCTCCAGATGATCTTTGCAACCATATGGACCTCCCCTGCATCACTTCAGTTCCAGTGGAAGAGTGTTGTTTGCTTCGAAAAAAGATACGGTTCGTCAGGACAAACGTGATCAACTTATACGTGGTGGAGAGACATATCATTGCCAGATAATATTTCGGATCATCTGTTTCACTCGTTTTTGGCATGAGATATATAGTACATTTAGTGATTCATTCCAGGATTTCATTAGGATTATTTACAAGCATTGACAGATTTTTTTTCAAGTGTTTCATGGATTGATGAAAGATGATAGAGCCAGAAATTCGTTCGTCGTTTCCTGGGGATTTCCATTTTTGGGATTTCGTTAGAGCTTGCCTCATTATTTGTGGTTATATTTTCCCACACTTACAGAGGTTTATCCAGCATTCGTTATTCTTCACGTTGGATCCATTCTGTATTTGAGTTATATTCCTTTGGGTTGCTCCAAATATTCTCCCTAAATATTTGCACATTGTCAATAGATGGTGGCTTTTCGGCATGTATAGGTGCTTTTCCAATTTTCCTGTGAAATTTCTTAAGGTCCGTTTGAAATATTTTATTTTGGTGATAGAACCTACAGCGTTTTGCGTATTGTCTTGTTCTCTACGCCTTTAATTGGAAATTCTGTTCAGGCATTTCCTTGATTGATGGAATTTCAATTAGGGATTTAATTTTATATTTCCACTTGATCTTCTTGCACTTGCCTCTTGAGATATTTGGGTTTGTAGTGAGGCTCATCTAATATAGAATGCTCACACCTGATTTCCTTTATTTCTTGCATTAGTTTTGCCTTCCAAGCTGGCTCTCTATGTCTGTTAATTTTTTGCATTGTCTTGACCCCAAGCTTCCCAATAGGTGCTAAAGCTGTTGCATATATGACGTTGTTAACTTCTGTGATGTTTCCCAGCGTTTTATCCGTTAACAGTGCTTCAAGTACCAGCGTTGTATATGAATTTTTGGGAGCTGGTCTCTCTGACAATTGTGTGAGAGTTACTCTGCTGAGTACTTGGATGGCGTGTTTTTTCGCTTCGATGATCTCACTTCTGTGGTTTTCAAGGAATTCTACCTTAATGTAGTTGGAGTCATCTTCAGTGACATTGTCTGGATAACTGCAGATTATGCCACAGGTAGATTCTTCGATTTTATTTCCTAGGAGGTTATTTCGTATCTCATTTGTTTTAGCTTTTACCTCATCCTCTGTCATATTACTTATTTTTAATTTTTCGTCTCTTTATAGCTTGAGTGATGGCTTATAGTATTCTATCTTATATTTAATTAATTTAAAAAAATTAAATTATTTAGTTATTATTAATATTATTGATATTATTATTATTATTATTATTATTATTATTATTATTATTATTATTATTATTATAAAGTTTATATTTAGTGGGTTCAGCTGTTTGAGTACACACGTCCGTTTTCGATGTTTGCTTCTCGCCAGGTACATTTTTTAATGACTTTGGATTGTCCACGCCGGTAGATGTCATTTTCATATAACACCAAACACAAAAAAAATACAGGGCTATCTAAGTGAAACACTTATCCTTCTAAATATAAAATTTATAGTAATAACAAATAATCTCGAATAAATAAGCATAAATTGCATTTAAAAAAAACTGCTTTATACATATGTGTGTGTCTGTATGCGTGTGTGTGTGTGTGTGTGTGTGTTTGTGAGTGTGTTAGTCAATGAGAGAAGGGGAGAGAGGGGGGGAGAGTGAAATCCTAGATTAAATGGTTTTTCCAAATCTGAAATTAATTTCTTTCCATGATTACATGTATATATTTCATGTGTATTCTTCGACACTTCACTCTTTAACGAGGGAAGAATGAATCGGCTATAATGCAAAACAAGAAGAAAAAAATAGTCACGAAAAACTATTAAAAAATATGTGTAATAATCCCAAAATAACTTCACCATTTTGGGTGCGTTTGCTGACTACTTCAGTCTTGCATTTGTTTCCTCTCTCTCTCTCTCTTTCTCTCTCTCTCTCTCTCTGTCTGTATATCTCTTTGTTTAGTCAATTTAGCAACTGGAGCCGCATTCTTTTAACAGTCAGCCTTGTAAATCTGACTCTAGTTCCGGCCGCATACTTAACCTTGTCAGTAAGCTATGCACTACGCCATTTTTCGCAATTCAAAAATAGAACTCAAAGTGATACACATATTCTAAAAATAAGTTTTACGACAAAAAACTTCACCACCCCTCCCCCACACGCACTTATAACACTGAGAAATTTTTTTTTTTTTATTTTACCTTGCAAATTAATGATGTAATTTTAGTTGTTATATTTTGTGCTGCTGTTATAAATTCCTGTAAGTTTGTAAACTTGTCTTTGGCAGCACCTGTGCTATTCTGACATTAGGTTACATCACAGAGAGATTTTTTTACAATAATGTTCACTCTTTAGAAGTCCCAAGAGCCACTCGAGTTAGAGGGTTAAAAGAGTAAAAAGCACAGTTTATGGGGATATGTGGGAAGATAATGGTTAATCCAAGACTTGAAGACGTTAAGATTATAATGATTGGGGAATCATCCTCTTGGGAATTGGTTCCACCTCTATTGGAACTTACATCTCATCAATGGAATATGAAGGAAACGAGAATGGTTCTCTATGATGTGCAGAGCATGGCCTTAGCTGTGAAGGTCAAAACTGGTGGAACTAAGGAATTTAGTTCGCCTAAACATTTTCCATGGAAATAGCGATTTGAACATTGAGAGGCTTACGACATTTCGTCTGTGAGAAAGGAGCGAGGAAAATAATTCATCAGCGATAAGGATGCGGGGGCGTTTTTGGACTCTATCGAAACGGGAAAGTGAACACTTGGCAGCTCATGCCCATATATGGCATTGTTGTCTGATCTGTTTCTAGTAAAGGTAGAGGGTAGAAGAAGGAGGAGGAGGAGGAGGAGGAGGAGGGAAGAGTCAGGTACTTTACTAGAGCAGTACAGGGAACGGACCATTTTTTCCAGCAATGGATCGTATATATGAATTCCACTTAAGCTCAAAGTATCATTTAACACAGGGGTCAGCAACTCATTCGACCCCGCGGGCCGGATCGTGTTATAATGACGTGTCGCGGGCGGACGAAGGCCATTAATGAAAAATTAATGAATAAATGAATGGACAGGGAAGGAAAAATATATATATATATATATATATATATATATATTAAAATTATACCAACCAAGCTGCTAGAATCGCAGAACAGCAAGTCCAAGCAAACAATCTCTCTGTCCATTCATTCATGTCACCCATGACAGACTTTTTCTTTTCCTCATAATCTAAATTCCCTGTTAACAGTTCTGACGAGAGGGGACGAAACCGGTCGACTGGTGTGTTTTATTTTAAACTTATCATGGCCTACAATACTACATTTCTAGTTTTAATGCCTTAATATATATATATATATATATATATATATATATTGGTATATTTTGGTATTATATTTTCGTTTTGTCGACTTATTTTCAATTGAATCCTTTCATATTCACGGACAAGCTTTTTGGTGTCATTACTTAAAGAAGAGAGAAAATTACCGTCTGATACATATTACTTTTTTCCGAGTACTTCCGACATTAGTGCCATGTCATCATTAGCGTGTTGTTTATTCGAAGACAAATATTGTAATGTTCATCATTTTCAAAGTCAAAATTGTTGTGTTCAACAGAAAGTTAATTTTTTTTTCTTGTGAATTGAAGAACATTGAGTAGAGTACTGTATGATTGGCTTGAGTAACGTTTCGCGGGAGGAAAATTATTATGGAATGGATTAAAAATTAAGTATTAAAACTTAGTACAAACATCGATATTTTAAACTATCCACTGTGAACATTTTAAAACATTTGTGCAGTATTCATAATAATTTTATTAAAGTTTGGTTTCAGTTTTTTTTAATATAGATAACTTCAAGACTTTTTATATTATGTTTATTATTTTCATGAAAGAATATAGATGTATTTTCAACAAGAATTCTTTTTTGAATTGCGAATGAGGACAGGTATGCTGTTGTAAATGTTTAGAAATGTTGGAAGCAACATTCAAATGAAAACTCGAGACAGAAAATGATGCAATTGAAAATAAGTAGACAAAACTTTAAATTATTCAATGAAACATGTCTCAATATAAATGCATGCTCTTTTATAGTTGTTTCAGAATTTTAACTTTTTCCAAAGCAGCTATGTATATGAATCCCATATCAATCAGCTGGATGTCTTCCACAAAAGTTGCGTCCAAGCGATCTATGGCTATACATATAACGATGAGGTGTCCAATTCTGATCTTCTCGCAAAATGCAAGACTTGTGAAATTGAGACTTTTCTGATGCAGTCACAACTTCGCTGGGCTGATCATATTGCAAGGATGAGTGATGACAGAATGACTAAGATCCTCATGTATAGCCAGCTTGAGAGTGGACAAGGGATTGTGGGAGGGCCGTGGCTCAGATATAAAGAAGAACTAATGAATAACCACTCAGCTGTCAATTTGCCTCATACTATACTCATACAGAGTGGTATCAGACATTTTGAAATCAGTCTAATAGACGAAAGAGAGCTGTTACGCAATATGTAGACTTGTATGCAGGTCAGTAGCGGGACTGAAATGTCACATACGACACAAACATAAACACTGAATGAGCTTGTCGGATCCTCATACGTCGAAAGTAAAAAAAATATTCCTTTTCTATTGCCTTAAATCAAAATTGTACTAATGTTTAATGAAATATTGTTTGCTAAAAACAAACGCACACAGATATACAGGGTGTTATGGAGAGATTGTCGTCTAAATTACGTGAAAATGAAAATAACACTGACATCTTATTTACCAAAATTACTAAAAATATCTTGAAATACTAAAGCGTAAAGTTATTCAATAAAATGGCCATTGGTTTCAAACACGGCATCCAGACGATTTCGGAAAATCTCCTGCAACTCTTCTGGGCGGTTTCCTTGTTTAAGTTAATGAATACTGCCATAATTCTTGCCTTCAGTTCATCTTTGGCGTTACAAGGAGTTTTGTTTGTTCCTCGATCACGCATAATAATCAAGGGGTTTCAATCTAGGGAGTTAGGTGGCCAGATGTAAGGGGTTTAAGATGTCAGACTGTGTTCTCCTGCTTTTGTGGCGTGGTGCAGAATCCTGTTGCAAGACATAGGGTCTTCCAGCAGCCACTCTCTTGACCTTGGGCAGATTACCTCCTCAAGACACTTCATAAAGGCCTCCGTGTTGAGTCTGTTAATTTTGGTAAATATATCTTAAAATGAGATGTCAGTGTTATTTTCGTTTTTGTGTAATTTAGACGACAGTTTATCCACCACACCCTGTATATATATGTGATAGTTTAATTCCTGAAAACACCGCAGTGTATCTTTCGTGTAATGAATCAGGCCATTACTGAGGTTTCTTCTTGGGTGAAAGCTGGCACCAAATATTTCGTGCCAACACAGAAATGACACTTGAATCTTGTCCTCTCTGTTCAGCTGCTATAGCCCACAGAAATCACTTTTTCCAATTATATTAATGTGACAATTTAGATCATAATAGACGTTTCTTTGTATCCGTTCGTAATGAGTGTAAGTGTGTCCTCAACGAGGCAAAGTAGCACCCTAAAGCAGCCCTGTAATAGCGTTTGAACCGGGTTCAATTCCCAGTAGTGTATGCGCGCTGCTGATGAGTCCCAAATATAGGTCAAAACGGCCGCCCAGTGCTTCCTGCATTCTGTTGAGGTTTCTTCTTCACTCAATGATTTACTTAATTATTATATCTATATATACCCTACAAGCCACCACGGGTAACTTTTTTTTTTTTTAAATTGGCACAAAATGTGACTGTTTTGTCCTTTAAATAAGAGAAAATTATTTTACAGGGTTAAAAATAAGCGAGACATGATTTTTATTAGAAATTTTATTATGAAAAAAGAAAAAGTATTTGATGATTAAATTTTGCTCTTGCCAAAATATCCTCCTTTAGCCAAGATTACTGCAGCACAAATTTTTGGCATTCCTTGCAAAAGTTTCTCAAAGTATAATTTTGATAATTGAATCCATTCTTTTTTTCAATGATACTAATGCTCTTTTTAATTTTTTCTTCATTCTTCTGTTACTCTGTCATGTTTATAATCTAAGATACACGCTCTGTCCCATCATTATACCATATATATATATATATATATATATATATATTATTTAGTAGGACTCTTCAATGTAGACCACGTGATATTAAATTCACGATTTTAACAAAGTATATATGTCAACTCAAACAGATGTATCCACTAAAAGTAACGTTTATAAAAAGATATACATATATAGTGATTTTTTAAGCCTGACTTAGATGCGGCATAAGGCCGAAAGTATGGAGCACCCAGTGAGGATCGAACACAATACTTAGTCATAATTGATCTAGCAAGACAAGCTTCTAACCATTACACCCCGTCGAGGTGCCCAAAGATATACATATATACATATATAGAGAGAGTATATACGTGTGAATGATGCGACTTTTGAAGGGGGTCGTATCATCCATGAGATATAAAATTAGTGTATCTACTGCTGGCCCTGGCTACACCGTTGACCAAACGATACTAACGATACTTTTATCATTCTCTTTTAGTTTTTTAACTTAACTAGAAGATGGTTTGGTTTGGTTTAGTAAGGTTTGTTTTGTTTTACGGCATATCAACCTTAATTTAATGGGTTATTTAATGCCGACAAAATTTTTTATTGCTGTTAATACTTTTTTTCTAAAATCTATTGTTGTTATTTTTGTTAAAAAAATGTATAGCTGGTTAATTTTTTTTTTTTTTTAAATGTATTGCTGATAATAATTTTTTATAAAAATGTATTTTTGGTATTAAACCCTATTTTTACACATTCATAGTGTTTTGACCCGAGTTTGGGAGTTAACTGAGTACCCATAGCTGGGTGCTAACACCCCGGGTCAGGGTGAACCTCAGAACATCAGAAATTAAGAGGTGGTCCCACGTTCCTCAAACCCTCTTCATCAGAAGTCTTGCTGTTGGAAAAACGCAGATGAAGTTTATCGTCATACCCAGGACGGTTAGAAGAT